AGGTGAGTGAAAAGCACTCACCTCATAGTTCTCCTTTTAAGCTGAACTTCCATCAACCCGCTAAATACACAGGAAACAAAAAATACACATTTAGGAACTGTGTTACCTTACCTTTATTTCTATCTACCCAGTTCTGATTTGCTCCACATCACATCCCATTGTGGCGGGGCAGGAGACCTGATTTTTTTCTGCTGCAGTTAATTAATTATAGGTCTTGTTCCTCGCCCAGCCTGTGATTGGACAGTGAAAGGAGAAGCAGTACACTGATGAGCTCATATTTTTGTCACTCAGCTCTCTCATCCTATCACCATGTTCTTTGTTAGCATTAAACACAGTAGCACGACTGATTGGCTCCATGTGCTGCTGCTCCCTCTCGTAAGTTGGACTCTGCTGTATGGGTATAACAAGAGGCTAATGTAGGTACTTAGACTGCTTGCAATAAAAAAAATATGATGATGTATGAGGCCTCATTCGCACTGCTGAGAGTCCGCCCGTACAGATCTGTGGGGCGTGCATGGCTGTATCTGGCCGTTCCCGGGAAGGACAGGTGCTGTGTGTACGCAGCAGCCTGTTCTTCTCTATGGGAGGACGCCGCCGTACACTCACCCGAACTGCACATCCGTGGATCCTGTCTGTGTCCAAGCACGGACACCCCCAACCGCACGGATGTGCAGTTCAGGTGAGCGTACGGCAGCGTCCTCCCATAGGGAAGAACAGGCTGCTGCATACAAATCACACACAGCTCCTGTCCTTCCCGGGAACGGCCCGATACGGCCGCGCACACCCCACGGATCTGTACGGGCCGGCTCTAAGCAGTGTGAATGAGGCCTTAATGAACACAAGGCTGCAATAATTTGTGTTTTTATATCTGTCTGGAGTTCAGCTTTGTTGAGATCTTCTCCGCTGTGACATGCAGAGGACGAGTGCTAGGAATGATCAGTCAGACTTGTAGAAGTCAGGAGCACAGAAGAGATACAAAAGGAGTATCTTCCATATCTATGGCAATTTTCTGTGATCATCAGCATTCCATTGCTAGGTGTACACACAATATACACACGTGCACTCCTAGTGTGAAATGTCAGCCACACAAACAGAAGAGTAAAGCAACTCTTTATTATGAGGTGAAGGTGTAATTAGAGTTCTAATATCTCCGATATATTCCTCTTACAATGGACTCATTCACACAGTAAGAATGTAGAGAAATTCCCAGTGCCCTTTTTAAAGAGATTTCTTACATATTGTTCGGCTGCCTTGTCACAATCCACTTTCTTCCCCAGCATAATAGCTACAGAATTATAGCAGTAATTCCCCACTGTCAAAGTTTTCTTTGTTCAAGCAAGCCATTTTCTTTATCCTTTTCTCCCATTCCGCTTTGTAAGTGAGATAAAGGGAAATTATTACCAGTATGAGTTGGGGCAGGGTGTCACTTAAGTAGAATTATAGGATCTGCCTCTCATTTAGTGTAGAGGGGCCGTGCCCACTAGTGATAGGGTGCCTTGTTTCTTTGTAAAATAGTCAACCTTCACCTCTCCAGTTATTGTACTAGAAGCCCCAGAATGCCCTGCCACCCAGCAGGCTTGTTCTATAATGGTATGCTGCCATTCCCCATTGTAGAGAAGTATTTCTGAGGAAGTACAGTACAAAACCCGGCCAGATCTGTAAGATGGAGCAGGCCATCACTGCTGATAAACAAGGGCCAACATCATAGCTGCTGATTTTGTGAACGGGGAGCCTACACTTTAGCACCGCATTGTGGAAGTATATGATTTGTTCTCGGCAGATCTCTGGGCATTTTTCCTATAATTTCACAGGGGCCTTACTGCACAAGAATACATTGCCATGCATTTATGCATACATGCAGGAACAATCATATGTATTTGTTATTGCACCAACATACTACTCAGCACATTACAGAGTACATCAGTCCATGAGCTTAGTTGGAGCTCCCTACCACACTCATATTCATACTGGGGCCAGTTCATTATGAATTCAGTTGACCTGTCTGGATGTTTTGGTTTATAAGAGAATATTCATAAGGATACCGTGTAGATAGCAACCTTGATGGGATTTAAAGTGACATAAAAGTTAACAATTCTGCTTTAAGCACTTACCTTAAATGATGCCTCTTGATCCGATCATCTTCTTCTTTCCAGTAGTTTTCAGGAGTCGCTCCAGACCTGGTGCCGGTCTCTAATCCAGCGCTGACTCCTCTCTCTACCTGTCACACGGAGTCTGTGCGGGTGCACGCTGACGGGCTGCCTGCATTGACTTACCCCCTGTGTCTTCTCCACGCCGAAGATCTGAACTGTGTGTGCGCCCGCCCCATGATCCTTTGCGACCGCCCGAGCAAATTCAGATCTTCAGCTGGGAGCGCGCAGCGGAGACATAGATAAGTTTAAACCTATTTGGTTCCTTTTTTTTTTCTTTCATGTTTTTGCATATATCTACTGCTTGTTGGCAGTAGATATATGCAAAAGCACGTAAGGCTTTAATGATCCTTTAAACCTAGGATACAGGTGACACTATATAAAATAAAATGTTAATGTAAAAAAAGAAACAGACAGATTTCCTTAAATTTGTGGTTGGTGGACAAATGCCTTGTTACATTGGTGTCCATTGATGGATCCTCTTACATTGGTGGTCAGTGAGGAAGTGACATTGGTGGTCAGTGAGGAAGTGACCCATAACATTAGTTGGTCAGTGAGAGAGATGGCTTTACATTGGAGGTCAGTTCCATTGGTCATGTACCATTTCATTGGTGATCAGTGGGAGTAATTCTCCTTACGGTGGTGGTCAGTGGGAAGAATGCTAGGCTTACAGACAGCTAAAAACGTCACTACTGTCGCTGTCATTGATCTGAATACCATCAGATGGGAGGTCAATGAGCCAGTGCTCAAGAAACCACTGGCAACTTCTGGAGGGACCCTAATTTTGGTTGAGAGTGGCTGTCCTAAAAGAGCAGAGAGCATATTTGGTTTACTAACAGAAGTGTAATAATGGAAGCCCCCTGGAGGATAAGTTAGTCATCCATGTTTATCTCCAAGTGTCTGTGATCAGCACCCCATTCACTGAACACAGATACCATGTTTTATCAAATTCTATGCTGAAAAGATGGCACATCATTGTTAGGGGGTACCATGGATGTCAGAGAAGTCCAGCCAGGATAAAGCTCATAAGGTTACGTGCACTTGCTATTTTTAAGTACCTAACCCCAACACTAAGGCTGGGTTCACACCCAGGCATATCGAATATGCGCGTTTGTCACGCATTTCGTGCCGTGCGTTTTTACCGCGATTCCGAGGGCTACCTGGCTGTATCCCAATGGATACGCGCGGCAAATATGCCCCAAAGAAGCTCCTGTACTTCTTTGGGCGTAGGGCGTTTTGCAGCGCGTTCCTACGCGCTGTAAAACGCCCAGGTGGGAACCATGCCCATAGGCAATCATTGGTTTTCACATGTTGAGCGTTTTACAGAGTGTAGGAACGCGTTGTAAAACGCCCAAGTGTGAACCAGGCCTAAGGGTAATAGTCTATAATTGCTTACTCTCATCTAAGGGTAAATTCCTTTATGCTGATTAGGGCTAGTGTACTTCTGGCGTTTTGAACACACAGAAAGTAAGAACTTGACCATGACAGGAAACTATTCTTGCTACAAGCCCAAAACATGTGGATCCTTATTTTGTCTCCTAAAACAATACATCCACCAAAATAAGTAATGTAAACCAATGTTCAGCTTGCATATTTGTAATGTAATTTTGTGTTTTGCCTTACGTTGTCATTTGATGGGGCTGCTCTGGTGGGGGTCTGCTGTTATTTGTGGTTCTAGAAGGCCTCAGAGTGTCAGGTTGACATGTGTACTGTGTACGATGTGCAGTAGGCCCCCAGAACAGGGTTGATTGCATTACACCAGCTCTGCCACAACGCTGGGGACATCCCTTGTAGCCATGACAGCCAGTGATGTGAGCGGTCCATATGGCAGCTCTGGCAGCAGCTGCTGGCTCTTGTGAAGGTCAGGACATGTGGTGAAAAAGCAGTCTAGCTGTTTTCTTGTTAGGTGAAGCTGGGAAGAGCCTGTCCATCCCCAGGAGGATCCCAGAGTCTCTTCATTTTCCTCCAGTGAACACGTGGAATTTCTTGCCTCAGCAACACATACACAGATTTCTCTTCCATAAAGGGAGAATCCAGTTTCAATGTAATAAATGGAAAAAGTTCTAGTTAGATTTTGCAGAAGATTAAAGGATTGTCACTGCAAACTATTATGTTTTTTTTGTAGGACTCTGTTTTTCTTTGGTAAGGTGGTATTGTGGAACTTGTGCTCTTATAATATTGGTAATGCTTGGGTCAGCGTTCTCGCATCTATGCACTATGTATAGAATGTAATGATTTACGGAACCTTAGACTGCTGCAGAGGAGGGGGACAGAGGCTGGAATGACCAGTTTAAGAAGAAGCCGACTCCTCGGTTCGAGTATACATTTTTTTTTAACCTAGACAAAAACAAGCACTGCAAGGGTTAATAAGGAATTTTACCTGGAGTTCTTTAAAAGTGTGCCCATCTCCAGTGCTGTCTGATCGATCTCCGGGCCTCAGTTTTGCCCCATCCCCAATGTAGTCATCTGTGCTGATACTTCGGGTTCCTCTTTGGTCATTGGGTGGCACCCAGCCCATTCATGGTGTCTTAGAGATGCTGTGACTGGGCTGTGTAAAATAATAAATAATCGCTGGGGGCGAGAGAGAGGAAGAATTTTTTTAAATACTTATACATGTTAACAAATGTTCTGGGAGCCGGCATTGGATAGAGTTCATCTTTAAGTATTTGAAGTGTAAATCTCTGTAACTGTGTATTTTGCAGGGAAATGATGATTGCACTTTATACTTCTCATGTGGTGACGGTGTAAGAAAACATTTACTGACAAAAATCTGTGCTCATGAAACTGTTCTGCTCCTTCATCTTTTATTAATTCCGAGGCCTGCTGTTGATCACTTTCTATTTTGTCTTTCAGAATGAGGCCGCTAGTTTCTATGCAACCAGCTAAGAAGGCAGCAACGGAGCAGGTAACTGTCAGATTGCATTTTGCTACCAGAAAGGTCATTGTAAGTTGCAGCTACACAACAAAAGACAGTCATGACTTGTTTATGAAATCCTCCCGGACGTCTGTTTACAGTTAGCGGGACATAGATTGTATAAAAATGTCATCTGTACAAATCAATCGACAACTTTTATTGAGGAATGAAGGCATTCTCTGGGGATGGCTGCATTTCCATATATATGCATACCGGCGGGAGACCGGCATTTTACCTCCCCCGTGGTGAGAGATTTCACATATGGATACACAGATGCCAGTCTCAGGTCAGTTATGAAGAATACCCGCTGTTTGATTAGTCTGGCAGCACTGAAATAACCCATAACTGCTTGTTCTACTGACAGATGCTTACAGCAAGATGTGACATTCAGGATGTAATTCATGCACACTGCAGAATTATGCACCTTGAAACTTCACATTTGGCTGTTTTTTGGGAGGGGGAGGGAGGGGCTCGGATAGATATACAGTATAAACCCCTTTTTATAAGACCCCTGTAGTCTGAAGAGAGGATTCTTTCTGAAATGCCTGTAAATTGTTTGCCGGTAGTTCTTTGTTTAGAATAGGGGAGCACAGAGGTGACAATTGTATCTCAAACATCTCCAGAAATATGGACAGTTTCCATTTTCATTTCCTACAGTTCTATCCATGTGGCTTTCTGGCCTAGCAGTGTAAGGCCCCTTTTCCACAGGTGGTCCGAACGGGTCCGCCTGTCGTTTTTTCAGGCGGACCCAATTGGATGCCTAATGCTAGTCTATGGGCAGCCATGTATAAACGGACGGGCGTCCATTTACACCTGCTTACCCCCGACTCTAGCCAGGTCCAGAAAAACAAACAGAATAGTGTTCCGTTTCGACGGACCTGATCATGCCGGATTAGGGGTAATCCAATGTCCGTTTACATCCAATTCCCCAGAGATTGACATGGGGTCCCGTCATTTCAGTTTTTTTCTCAATAAAAAAAACTGGACATACACAGATGTCACAGCGGTAACATCCGATCTGTACCGCTCCGATCAGGAGGGGGATCTGTGCACCGATCCCCTCCTGAACAGCTCGTGTGAAAGGGACCTGAAAGTGTCTGAGCAGTGGCACGGTTAAAAGAATGAAATGCACAGCCACATTTTCTCCCTCTGGACAGGATGTAAAGGTGCAGTGGAAGTGATTGGTATACGTTAATGATCAATATGTTTTCCTTATTCCTCTATTCTCCTTACAGCAGCCATATTCTTCCTTTCATTTGTTAAGCAGCAGTCAATATATAAAGGACAGCATCCGAGTCCTAGACGCACCTTAGACACCTTTTGGGGGTCATCCATTATTGGTTCAGTGTTGGCCAACAGTCACCAACCACAAACCTTCTCTAAGAAATTAAAGTGGAAGAGCATAGAGTTGGATTCTGATGGGTGGTTGTGGTTCCCTCAGAACTAAAGTATAACAATCATTTCAGTACAGTTTACAACCTGATTGGAGAGGGGAGTCATATACCACAGTTCTTAAAGTGGACCTTGCACTAAAAAAAAGCAAGGTCTGCTTCATTAATCAGGACCTCCACCCCCATTCCAAACACTGCAATAATGTATAGAGGAAAAAAAAGGGGAAACACGTTAGTCAATATATTCACCTAACCCAGCAGTGACCAGATGACGATAATGTTATGATTCCTCCGGCGACATCCTGGGAATGATGAGGATCCAGGATATCAAAGTGAGGTGCTAGAAAGTATTTTTCTTATGAGGTTTGGGATTCTCTTGATTCCTAGGGTCTCCCTGGAAGGCTTGTGATATTATGGTGTGCACTCTAAAGGCCAGAATTAAGGCCGGTATGGTGTGTACATTTTTTTCAGTTTTTTTATGCATGGTAGTGAGTGTCCTGAATAAATAAAGAGGATCCTCCTTTTAGTGCAAGGTCCATTTAGATATAAACTTTAAGAAACCAACCCTGCATCAAATCTTAAGCCAGCACCCATACATAATGTGCTTGCCAAACAACCCCGGGAAGCATGATTTTACTATCCCTTCAGTACTTCTGCAGCAGATTAAAGAATTGCCTTATTCCTGCCAGAGCTAAAGGATGATTATATAACTTCGGTATTTAGCATTTTAAACAGTGACAATGACATAAAAGTATTAAACTCGTCAAAGTGCTCAATATGCTGCCTAGGGACAGGCATTAGGACTTTTATTCTTCCTCATTACAAAAATGGCACAATTCTAGATGTGCAGCAGGACGGAGATGGGTAAGATAATTAGGAAGAGGTCATATTTTAATTAGGTGATTTCTTTACTCCTGCTGTCTCCACGAGTCAATGAGCAGCCTATACTTGGTTCCACACTACTCACATGCTGGATGGAAATTCTCAGCATGAAGCGTCCCAAGGAACAAAGTTTCCTCCGGTGACACTTAATCTCTTTTCTTGGATTGGTTCTGTATGACGATTTTAATACTTAACCCCTGTGGGTGCAGAACACGGTCCCTCCTGAGATCAGAAAGAAAATGATTGCTTGGAATTGTTTCCTTTATTTCACGTTTTAAAGGATTTGTTTCTTGGTGGAACTGGTTACCAAGTTCAGTGTGTGTGCTTTGAGTCTGTTGCCTGTAAATATACTGAAATAAACCATTTTCCTAGTAGATCTGTATAGAAGGTATCAGTGGCGTAACAACCGGGGGTGCAGCAGGGGCGCGGGCCCCGGGCGAAAAGTGAAGGGGGGGCGCCGGCCGAAAATGGCACTTTCGAGGTATGGTCCACATTCACTGCAACTGCTGACATGAAGTCTCATCAATACAATTGTGTCTAAAAGGAAAAAATATTACCTATTACCCAGTCAGATTTTAAGATATCCTTTCTAGAACTCCCATTGAGCAGAATCATTTGATTGGTTGCTATGGACTACACATTTTTCTTTTCTGTAGGAAGGAACTTCACTTCAGTAATCTACCCTAAATTTCTCAGGGGTCATGTGTTAATTGAAATGTTGAGGCATGGGCTGAAACATCTAAAATGACCTCGGTAATTCATCTTTGTCTTAGGGTGCAGCCAGTTTGAGACGAGAAATTTGAGCACGAGTGTACGGTTGAGCTTCCATGTTACTTGCTCAGTGAACAGGCCATAATTCATCAGATGCTCTCTTGCATGTGATCCTTTCCAGTGAGGTGTCACATGATCTGTTTAGGTTTGACTTGGCAATAAATCTTCATTAGCTGGGAGATGTGAAGTATGTCTGCTGAGACTATCTCAATCCTGTGTGTTTTGTTAACTTTGCTCTTCTTTCCCAGCCACCTACCGGGATCAGTGAGGGTCAAACTACTTTAGTGGTGGAGACTGGGCCCGTCGCATACAACCATGAGGAGGAAGCAGCAGCAGCAGCAGCAGCAGAAGAAGAGGAGGAGGAAGAAGAGGAGCACTGTGTCAGCGCACTTGAGTTAATGGGGGGAAACGGTAAGTACAGGTTTTAGACATCCGTTGTAGCCTCTCTCAGTGCCCATAAATGAGTAGAATAGTGAGGACTCTGACTGTCCTCAAAGTACTTGTGCTTTGCTGATACCCACAGCAGTTTTCTTTCTAAATTGACCACCATATAGACGCAAAACGTGTGCAATGACACTTAGCTTAGGCTGGCATTGCACTCGTAGATTTGCAAACGAATGTTTGTAAGAAAGATCTTTCTTTACCACCCAATAATGCCATCAGACACTTGACTGATGTTGATCGAAATTTCATTTGACTTAAACGTTCAATTTTGCAATGAATAGAGTTTCAAGAACGAAAACCTCATTATCTGTTAGAGTTTTGTTCCTTCCAGAAACATTTTCCATCCTGCTCCTTTGAGTTTTTTTGGCACTCTGGTTGGTTGAAATCGATCGTGAATTTGACCCCATCAACTAATAAAGTATTTCGATCAGAACAGCTTGTTTGTGTGCTGTCCTTGATTCCCAGGGTTGAAAAATATCTGTTCTAAAATCTGGCTGTGAGGAATCCTCTTTGTCAGGTTTACACAAGTCTTGTACCATTGCTTCAATTGCTCCCAGATTATTTAGGTTTCGACACTCCAAATGTGGTAAAGCTTCAACTTCCATCATGCCTCTGGTACTCATGCCTGTCAGTCTTGCAGTGCCTTGTGGGATGTGTAGTTAAATAACAGTAATCGGGCCAGAACACACTGAAGCTGGTGTGAACTAGCCCTAAAGCATAGGAGAAGTATCAGGTGACCCAAAATAAAATGGAAATATAATCTATCCTGAGCCTTAGAAACAATCTGAGCAGTTTGAAACGCGCTCACTAATAACCTCTACAACATAATGCACATTCATGAAAGGAGTGTTGTAGCCAGACTTTTGGGGGGAATTTATCAAAACTGGAGCCGCTGTGCATAGGAACCAATCAGCTTCTCTTTTCAGTTTGTTCACTTAAGATTTGAAAATGAAAGAGAGAAGCTGATTGGTTGCCATGCCACTGCTCCAGATTTTGTCTGCTCCATTGATAAACTCCCCTCTTGCTACTTTGTGGCAGCACTTTTTATGCATAAAATGTGCTGGATAAACAAGCGTTTTATCTTTTTTTGTTCCTATAATTTCTTGAAGGCAATTTGTAATTCTTACACGTTTCCCAAGGAGGGTTATATTATTTTGCAGTAAATAAAAGGTACATCTTGTAAAAAGCTGGCTGGGTAATTCAATTTGTCTAGTTTTATTGTGGAGGTACATGAAATAAAACACAAATCCGGTTCTTCCCTGAAATATTTACAACTTATTAGACTGAAGGGCCCGGACACACATGGTATTAGACTGTGTTCTGAAAATGTTTTATTTACCTTGTTTACCTTCAGTCAGTTTATAAATAATTTGCAAACATTGGAAGTTTAATCCAGTTACCAGTGTGCCCAAAACCCAAAGAACTTCTGTACCTAAACCATAATACAGATATTCTGTCGTAGTGCTAAGCTTGCCATATACTGTTGGTATTTTTGGCCAATTTTATGTGAATCACCCAAAATTTTAACCATGGGTGGCCGTGCCACCTGACAGACTTGAAATGAAAAATCAAAGGAGCTTGGTGGAAAATTATTAACCAAACAGTGACTGGAGACAATCAGCAGAAATCAGT